GGTGGGCAAGGAGAAGGCAAGAGAGAGTACCTTGAAAGACTGGAGGTACTCCATAGAAGAGCAATAGTGTCAGAAAGAGACGTGTGATAATTTACCCAAGAACAGCTTCTCTCAGCTTCTGTATTGCAAAGCTGTAATCTAAGTCCTTTTAAGTGACCTGTGCCTTCAGGATGTAAATACCAACTCTGCCTTTTAAGGGCTGCCTGACTAAGCAAGTTCCATAGCCTCTGAGAGCTTTACTGGTAAAGCAGGAGTAATAAAGTTTAGGTCATGATGTTTCAATAAGAAGTTCAGTGACATTTATAGTTTATGATAGATGCTCAATAAATAGTATTTCCTTTATGTTTTCATATCTGTCTATCAGACTTCTCTGGCTCTCTGGCAGGAACCACGCTTTTCTTACCACCAAGAGAGTGGCCCTCTTTTCAGTGAAATGCAGAGGAATAGCATAGGTACAACAATGTATCAGGTTTTTCAGATTTGAAAAAACATAGGAGACAAGAAAACAGATGATATTTCTACCTCTGGAAATTTTCAAACTCAGACATTCCTTCAGACTAAAAGTTATGCCAAGCCTTTTGGCTATTGTAGAGGGGGTTGGAATGGACAATATTTTCATTCCTTGTTTATTTCAGAAGTGCTATACAAACACTCACATGTTTCAAAGTAGCTTCCTTTCTTCTGTATTTTTCAGTTTTTCTCAGAATCATCTCTTAATCCTAACCAAATGGAGAGGAGTTAGAGTGCTAAAATACCCCATAGCACTTATCTATTGCTGCATTAAAAAAACTACCCCGAAATGCAGCAACTTAAAGCCACAATTTATTATCTCACATGGTTCTGAAGGTTAGAAATCAAGGAGCAGCTTAGCCAAGTGGTTCTGGCTAGGAGGGTTATTTCAGGGATACCCATGTTGGCTGGAGCTGCACTCATATGAAGGGGTTGGAAAATTCACTTCCAAGCTAACTCACATGGCTGTAGAGGGGGCAGGTGTGGGGGAAGGTCGGGGAGAGAGAAACAAAGAGAGATAAGATGGAAGTCATGGATATATCGTATGACCTCACTTTAGAAGTCAAATACCATCACTTCTGCCGTATTTTGCTGTGGCAAACTGATAAAACCCTCATACAATGTGAGTGTGAGATCAGGAGGGGAAGATCACCGTTGTCATCTCTGAGGCTGGCTCCCATATATCTCTTTAGCTTCTCAACTAGGGAAACCAACTATACTCATGGTCTGATAGAGCTGCAGGTTGAGAAGACTCATTCCATCTTATTCATCCACTAAGCACTGGAGCAATCTCTACTAATCAAAGGTTTGATGATGATTTCTGATTTTTATTTCTAGATATGGACTGTAATATTTTAAGTATTCATATGTTTAAAATCAGATATCCGTTCAAATTTACTGTCAGTCTCTTAAACTACAAGTAAATATTAAGAGCATCAGAAGTTTTCAGGGCAATTATGGTATGTGTTACAATCAAGTTATATAAGAAAGGCCAATTATACACAGATGTAGAGGGACTGAATTGACCTGGGAATTTGGAGAAGGCTTCACAGAGGAGATGACTTTGAATTTTGTTTTAAAATATTAACAAGTTTTGCCCAATTGACAAAGGCAAGCTAGAGGACATAGATTAGGAAAAAATGTTGAGTTTCAACAAGTTTTAGAAGACAACAGCATGTAAAGATAAACTTTGCAAAGCTCTAACACTAGGAGAAACTATAATTCATTGAAACATGCATAGTTGATAAAAGTATAAGCAAGGCAAAATATAAAAAAATACATTTAACAAAAATGTAATCAATGCAATGAGAAATTCAGAACTCGCAGTAGTGATGACCTCTGGAAGGAATGGAGGAACCAAAGTTATGGGAACACAGAAACATCAGAGAGAGATCCAACGATGTTGGTGATATCCAAAAATTTTAGTAGGATTATAAATATTAGAATTACTCAGAACAATTTGTATGCATAAAATATTACATGATCATTTTTTAACATTCAGAATATGTCAGCAGAGAGAACGGTATGTGAAAATGCATGGAGGGATGAAGGAGCTTGGAATAAAATATAGACATAATTGTGACAGACATGACAAATAATGCATTATCCTTCATAATATACAGTTTAGTATTCTAATATTGTATTGGAATATACAAAGGAAAGGAGATTAGAGATACAATTGAAAGCAACAAACTCAAAACTCAAAATCTTGCAAAAGAAGCAAGTGCTATTTCTGTTAAGAACCAAGAGACTGATTTATCCTTTGTTGCCTGCTTGGTAATAAAATCAAGGCATATAACAATTAAGGATTTTGAATAATGTGAATTAATGATAAGTTACAGCAGCAGTTATTATTTTCATCATTAGGAAAGAGGTCCAGTGCATTTTAATTGTCTGAAGCTCATCGTGTGCCAACAACTTTTGTTCCTAGTGGAATTCAAATCACAGGGCAGTACTTTATTGAACAGCTTACCCTTTTAAACTATTGTGAAGCTGCAAGTAAGATTTAATTACATTATTGCCAATCATCTGAAGAATGGTAATTACTTGGCGCCCTTGGCCAATGTTTCTGATTTAAAATGCTGTAGAGTACTCAACAGGTCGTAAGTTCATATCCTGGTCCTATTAATTTTCTTTTAAAGCCTTACTTTATTCCTTAGACAAGGAATAACTCCACCCTTCAAAATGATGCTTAGGAAAAACATGAAGGATCTGAAGAGAACAGATACATGAAACAAAATGGCTTTGACTGTTATGACCTGTTTGCTATTAGGTCTGTGTTGTTTTTGTCTTTTCGTATTCATCTTTCTAGCCAAAAAAGGAAAAAAATATATCTGAGACCAAGAGACTATTTTCTTGTGTGAGGTTTGAAGTGTCTTTATAATTCAGCAGAGCTCCTAGCCAAAATTTTAGTTTTGACTGAAAGCAATATTTATCTGCATCAGAGTAAGACTGACTTCCTATGTGTCTAGGAACAGAGCAGGATGTGTTTATTCTCGTGAAGGTGATATGCAAGGAGGAGGGAATGAAAGTTGGAATTTTTTTTCCTTTTGAAGATTAAAATAAGATATAATCCGTGTAAGTCCACACTGGGACTTTCTGATCAAGAAGTTGCATCAGTTTTGCTAAAAGAAGGCCAAGAGTGTCTGAAGCTATTTTCTGAGTGAGCACTGTCTTCTGACTTGAGTTCAGGTGTGACTAGCTGTTCATGGTGAACTTCAATGCCAATTCCTGAGTTTTCTACTCTTTGTTCAACTGCCTGAGCTTCTTTTGCTCCTTTGTCTGCTTGATAGATCTTTGTTTTGCCATTTGGTCTGCTGTTGGTGAAAATGTCCTTTCACTTAGCCCAATGATACTGTGTTCCAGCCAAAGTTGACCCATGTTTTCTGGGTATGGGCATGCTCCAAAGCTATCCTTCTTCTACTAAACGTGTTATTTAGGGTAGCAATAAGCCTCATGTTTATCAGATTGGTATCTTAACTAAGGTGTTCATTTTGTATTGGGGTTGTTTCATAACTAAAAATGACTATAGCTTCTTTTCTTTCCAATCATCTTCTCACCTGTGAGTGTCCCAAGACAATCCCTAGTAGTCTTCTCCCTAAATTACATACTTGCAAACATTGTCATAGTTATGCAACTCTTCATGAATAACTTCCTCCTTCCTTCTGTTTTTTTTTTTTTTTCTTCTTCTTCTTCCTGTGACTATGATGTTCTCTAAACAACCCTCAATAACCATGCTCTATTCATAATTTTATTCAGGTAGACCCCTGGAAGTATTGTTTCAGTGACTCATTTTTGGCATGCTAATATCATATGAAGAGTCAGCCTCATGATTTCATCTATTCCTCTGTGACAGACTACATTGGTTATTCACCTGGCTTTGGATTCAAAAAATAGTCTTCTGAAGGCAATTATCACAGTACCTTAAAAAAGTGGTTGGAAAGGAGTTTTCATAGAAATAATTCTTGTTGAAATTATTAAATATTTGCATTTCTGGCAGGTATTCATGTGAAATATTACCCTTCATGTTCAATCACATTAAACTTTTCACTTAGAAACATAACCCTGAGTAATGTAACAGCCCCAACTAATTGATACATTGTCCAACTAAAGTTTTTGCATTAAAAAATATAGATGTAGGACCACCTCTGTTTCTCATAATGAGTATGTTGTGATGATCCAGGATTGAGCAAAATGTAGAAGTCATCAGCAGGGGGTTGATTGCATAAAATCACATCAAATATCTCTGCAGAGTTTTTTACTCAGTAGATTTCACTTTGCAAGTTTACCACAGGTAAAAATTTTCAGTGATGAACAACAGCTCTAAGATAAATATATTTTGTTCAGATTAGGTATGAAAAGATTAGAATTGGTATTTATAAAGCTAGAACTAGAATTCTAGTTAGTATGACTGTTAGCCTATAGATTTTATTTTACAATATTGTATTCCTATATTCTAGGCTAGCAAGAAATTAAAGCTTTAGTCTAGAAGTCAGAATATCTTGAGTCACAATCTCAGCTCTTTGCTGTTCCTGACAAGACTTGTCATCTTTGTGTCTTACTTTACTCATCTGTATAAAAGTAAGGAGGGTATCTGCTCTACATTTTTTACTAAATTGTGAGAATTATATTAAATGTGAGGCATAAAACTAAGATATTTTACATTATGTGTTTCATAATTAGCAGAGTATTTTGACAGCAGTAGAATCAGTTTCTGATACTGCTACTCTTCAACTTTTATTATTTGTTCTTCCCTCTTGTATTCTAAATATCTGTGACTTCCTCATCATCACCTCCTCACTGACCCCTTTTTGAAAGAAGGATATTATATTTTTGCCAGTAGGAAAGCCAATGATGAAACCGTACTAATAGCTGAAGGAAAGAGTTCCTCCTATTTTTCTTGGGTGAAATGTTGATAACACCAAATTGTCCTTTTCAATTCTGTACTTGGATATTAGTTACAATAACTTATTTTCTTCTTGTTCACACAGGAAATGACTTATTTCTTGTAGCAGTTCATGAACTGGGACATGCTCTGGGATTGGAGCATTCCAATGATCCCACTGCCATCATGGCTCCATTTTACCAGTACATGGAAACAGACAACTTCAAACTACCTAATGATGATTTGCAGGGCATCCAGAAGATATATGGTAAGTTACTACTGTTTCCATTTGCTTAATCCTGTAGTGAATTCCAGAATTTCTGCTGTGTTTTCTTCTTTGAGATAGATGCTCTAAGAATAAGATAGACAACTAAATAAAAAGTATATCGCTGGCCTACTGGCAAAATTATTCTATCAATTGAATTTTATTGGCAAAGGTCCCAGGTATCTTAATGTATAGATTATGGGAACAATGTTAAGCACTGATGAAATTTTCTTACTGAGTTTGGTTGAAACCTGCAGTTACTGCAAAGTTCTAATAAACTTTAGTTTTTAAAATTCAGATAAAAATATATAATAAATGAATGTAACCAATGAAAACAGGAAAAAATATAAGACTTTCATATATAAAATGCTGAGACTTTTCTACAAACTGACAGATTGACTCATAGTTTGAGAGATATGATGTTAGGTATTTCTTAGACCAAAGACTTTTGAAGGTCCACAAAATACCCTTATGTGATGGTAGAAGAAATTCGTCCCAAAGTCATGAAATGATTTATTGACCTAGAGTAAGAGTTAAAAAACAAGGGAGTGAAATTAACAAGTAGTGGTTTATTAATACAGAGTGCAAAACAGATTTCTAGTATCATAATGTCATTTTTATTTATTTCAGTCAATGAATGCAAATTAAAAGAAAAAGGGAAAGACTATTATGCATATTTACTATAATCCTAACTTCCTCATACAACCATTGACCTTTATAAAGGCATTTATTTCACACATAGTTGCTAATAACTTGACAGTTATAATTTACATATAGCAAATAGGCTTTACTAAATTAATGAAGAGAAGCTTTTATTTTTACAATACAAAGACAAATATGTGTCATCTGTATGTTAATATCCAATATCCAGAAGATGTCTTTTGCATTTTTAAGCAGCATAGTTTAAGTTCACTAATTTGTTTTACATTAATTAGTTTTTTCAATTTTAATAACTCAGTGGTAAATATTCTCTCAGGGTTAAAATTGATTCGTAAAAAAAGGTCAGTTTTTGTGCTGTTCTGTAGTTTGCTGGGATACCAAGAAGAGAGAAATGTCTGACTCAGTGCTAAATATCTCTTATGTTGAATTGAACTATCCTATGTCTAAGTGTGTATCATCAGAAATTCTTCTTAAGTGCGTCACTGAAAGAAGTCTCTTTCTCATGACCTCATGAAGTAGTAGTCTAGACTGAAGGTCTGCAAAAGAATATTCTTCCCATACCTAAATATTAAATCCAAACAGCTTTATGTTTCTTTTTAAAAACATAAATCTCTTGAGAACGATGCTTAACATCTGTACCAAATTACATATGTAAACTTTGGCTTGATTTAGAAGCCTCTTTTGAGAAATGCTTCTTCACATTAATATTTTACTGGTGGTATTTTAATCAATATGTATTTTAGATTCACTTCTTAAATGAAACATTCTTCCAGCAATTTATCAAAACATTTCATTTGAAGAAAATGGTGAAAATCAATAAAAGGGTATCAAACAATTTTGACACATAAGATAGAATAAACTTTGCTTAGTTAACATTTCTCTTTTGGAAATATTTGCAGAGAATCATTATCTAGAGAAATCTGGGATTAACTTTGTTGGTGCTTACATAGATGGCTCCAGTATTCCTTTCCATTTATTTATTATTTATACACCACCTACTTCCAAAAAAGATCTGAAGGCAGCTTTTCCAAAAACAACTGTAGTAAAGCTATAAAAAATTTTAGTAAAAATTAACAAAGAAAACCTAGCTACCTGGATCCAGAATCTAGCATGATAAGGACTGTTTCAGATAAACTTAGCAATGCTTTTTTTGGATAAGATATTTTGTTTTTTCAGAAAATATGCTATCTTAAAGACCTCTTAGTTCGCTTAGTCTGTGCCCTCTGCTGATAAGTGATTGTTCTCTGTAGCATATTTTCCAGCTCTATTCCAGTTTTAAGTGAGCCAAGCACTGTCCTCATATTTTCAAAAGGTCCACCTGACAAGATTCCTCCACCTACAAGACCTCTACCGACAGTGCCCCCACACCGCTCTATTCCTCCGGCTGACCCAAGGAAAAATGACAGGCCAAAACCTCCTCGGCCTCCCACCGGCAGACCCTCCTATCCTGGAGCCAAACCCAACATCTGTGATGGGAACTTTAACACTCTAGCTATTCTTCGCCGTGAGATGTTTGTGTTCAAGGTAGGAGACTGATTTTTTTTTTTTTTTAACAGTAGAGCGAGTGTTTAGTGTTGCTTTAGAAAACAAGTTCTCATTCATTCTAACACTACCTTCCCAGCCCTCTCACAGAAAGTTCAAAAAAAGCATTTTAAAAAATAAATGCACAAATGGGCTTAAATGTCTAGCAGAAGATTGCTGTAACATTCTATTTTGGGAATGCATTTATGTCAGCAGAAGCTAAAATGCCTAAAATGTGAGGGTAAAAAAAAATTGCAGCATGTTATGAAGAGATAAAATAGCATAATTTGAATCATGAATAGGAACTAATAGGGACGATTTGCTTGGGAGCTTAGCCACTTCCAGGCATACCACAGCTATTATATCTGTGGCTTACATATCTTTATGAGATCCCTGTAATTTCATTTGATCATTAAAGCATTGTTTTACAGGAGGAGCATTGATCATTTGGTTTGGGAGTCCACTGGTAGCCATTTGAGTTAAGTCTCCTCTATGAGACTATCATTTTAACTTTACATATACATGTTATTGTTTTTATGTTGTTAGGCAGTTATGTCTAACTTATATATATATTTTTTAATACAAGCTGAAACTAATTTTACATTTGCAAAAAGGCTGTTAATGTCAGGTTCTTAGAAAATAACACTAATAAATAGTATATCAAAAGTAAATTATGTAATATTAGAAGGTGAATATAGTATAATACTAAAAAATAATTTTATCCCCTAGTATTTGTAAACCAGTCTTAAAGATTAATGAAGAAAATAAGTTTGGATGTTGGCATTAGAGTGTTAAAAGAGCCACATTTTGTCAATATTATTTATTTAAAAATAATGTGCTCTCATTTTTGGTGGACATAAATCAATAAAAATAATCAAATACTATTCTACTTACATAAAATTTCCTGTCTAGCAGAAGCTATTGTTGAAAAATATGGATTTCATATTATTTTTACTAGATAAAATACTCTATTTTCTTTATTGGAAAATAAGATCTGGATTTGATATAACATGCATAAAAGCATCGTGCTTTCCAGGAAAAAATCAATGCATTCTTAAAGCACATGAATAGATTTTTGAGTTCTATAAATGCCCTGTAATACTTAATTAGATATCACCATTCAATTTCAAGTAGTTTAATAAATTTAGATTCAAAGAGTAAAGAAAAAGCTTACTTTTGTTACTTATTGTGTTACTCTGTGTTACTCATATTGTTACTCATTGTGGCTAAGCCCACAGCAACTAGTTGGAATGAACACAAAGTGCAATCTTTTGTTTATTCTGCAAGACACTAGATGAAAGCTGACGGGTTTTGTTTTTATTATATTGGCAGAATTTAAACATTACAGGCTTTGTACCTTGATATCATAACAATAATACCAAAGCATCAACCTTCTCTGAGAATATGATGTGAAATTGACTTCATGCATTATTTTTTTATGATTCCTGTCTATCTAAATAGGTTGCTGATTTCAGAGGAGACTGGTGTCTTCCTGTGTAGTGATTGCTTTTACCAGCCTCTTTGCTCTACACATTGTAGAAGTTTAGTAAGTGCTGTTGACAAACAAAAGATGGTCCTGTGATTACTGGTTTCTGAAATCAGGAACTGATAAAAAGTGCATGGATGAGACTCTCAAGTAGCTGCTATTTTCAATATAAAACAGATATGCAAAAAATATAAGTAAGGCCTACAAAACAGGTATGCAAAAAATATAAGTAATCCCTAAACTCTGAGATTATCTTGGATTTCTTTAGCAAAATTCCTGACAGGACAGAGTTTCTAAAATTTCTCTGAATTTAATTTTTTCAGTAATTCTAAGAATTATTGCTTTCTTTCTAAGAATAATTTCTTTGGGAGATAACATGTTCTGATACGCATTTTGTTCTTCATAATATCCATTTGCCTAATGAACATTTTGTCACAAAATTTTGTAATTTTTATTTTTTTTATCTCTTTGATAGAATGTGTCTGTGTGCCCAGCATACTTTCCTATGCATCAAGAATGCGTGAATAGAAACTAGCATTCCTGTCTTTGCAGAGCTCATATTTCAGGAATGAAGACAAACTTGAACATTAATACTTTTAATGCACAAGGGTAAAAGTCATGACACTGAAACAAAGAGAAAGTACTGAAGTCTAATCAAACAAGAAATTTTACTGAGATTGTAGTTGTAATGAATTTTGAGACAAATTTTCTCAGCACATTAAAGAAGTGAGCAGAATAGCAATAAGTTTACATATGGAGGGAGAAAAGACAGACACGTTACTCTCTTGAGTAAAGTGATAAACATTAATATTCAGACATATACAACATCGCATAAATGTAAAGAAAGTATGATTGAGTGATATACCTTGCTCTTAGTTAATAGTTGCCATAGATTGGGTACCCGTTATATATCTCTGACCTTATAAAAACACTGAAAGATGGATAGCATTCTCTTTTGCAAATTTAAAAAACTGAAAATCAGAAAAGTTTTGTTGAAACACTTCTAAGAAGTAGTCAGTACCTGAACACAGGTCTGCTTGATTCCAAAATCCGTGTTTTCCCCACTAGGCTTTGTGCTTTGTCACCTGAAATAATTGAGAAAAGTTTCAAAAGAAAAATAGACTTTCAACTATATTTTGAAGTGATAAGTATTCAAGACATATTTATTGTACTCATATGCTATGCTAGATATTATTTTAGGCACTGGATATGTAGCAGTGAACAAAACAGGCCACACTTGGGTTTCTTGCAAATTACATTCTATTCTTCATGGTGGACATGTGGATGAAAGGCTTCACACGGATATTCCACTTGTGTCACAAAAGGATATGAGAGCCCTTACACATGACAGAGCCGGGAATTCTGTTTTTCAGTGTTAATGACTGCTGACTGGTCTAATTTCTCCTCTATGCTTACGTAGTCTAGACTGCCTTTACTTCTAAATTAATGCCATTGCCCCATATCTGATCTTTCTGCCATTTCAATATTTCTTCAATATGCACATCATTCTTTTTCATATTTTGCTCCTTGTTGACTGTCTCTTCAAATATTTTTAGTATTGCTTGTTTGATCTCACTCTTACTAATATTACTTCATTTTCTACTTTTGTTTATTACAGACTCTACACAATTTAGAAGCATCTTAATCTCCTCAACCCTTACCTATCAACACTTACTTTCCCCTAAACTTTAATGTCTGGGAATAGCTTCTCAAGCCTCTGCTCATCCAAATGTTTCCTCTACAGCATGTTCTCACCATCCCATCTTCTCTGATTCTCTCCAGTGATTTTTGTATTTATTCTCCATATTCAATTAGCATATGATTAATTTCTGTCTTCTAGAATTATTTCTTATTGAAATGTGTTCCTCAACAAGATTTTTACTTCCCCATAGCAGAGATTGGTTCATGTGACCTTCACAGTGTTCAGTGCTAATGAACAGGGATATCGGTATAAGAATTATATAATCAAACTATGACCAATATTATTTTTATACGATGATAATCAGCCTAAATAAAATCCCTGAAGCATTTTATTTTGGTAAGTTGTTATTCCTTGCCCAAAGATTTCAATGAGTATTATTTATGTAAATTCTATAGGCATGATTTTTAAGTTAACAATAAGAAAATCTAGATATAAGTAAAAGGTAATATCATCAGATAATTTTGTTTTCTTGTAAGAAAGAAGCCTTTCTTTATAATAGCACTTTCAGCATAATGCTTTTGGTAGTGAGCTTCTTCTCAGAAGATTTGATTTACATTACACTTTCCAGGTATCCATTTATTTAAAGTGAGTTCACTTAGATACGAGTTTCTGTAGGAGATGGGATATGTCTATACTTACAGACAGACAGACACACACACACACACAGAGACACATACACACCCACCCTTCTTTCCTTATACATGAAAATTTTAAGCCATGCAGCTTTATAAACTTTAGAGAATGTAAACCACCTAATCAAAGGAAATGAGAATCAAAACAAAATGCCAAAGAAGAGAAAACAAAGGCTGGGTATGGTGGCTCATGCCTGTAATCCTAGCACTTTGGGAGGCCAGGGCGAGCAGATCGTGAGGCTGGGAGTTCAAGACCAGCCTAGCCAACATGGCGAAACCCAGTCTCTACTAAAAATACAAAAATTAGCTGGGCACGGTGGCATATGCCTGTGATCCCAGCTATTTGGGAGGCTGAGGCAGGAGAATTGCTTGAACTGGGATCTGGGAGGCAGAGGTTGCGGTGAGCTGAGATTGCAACACTGCACTCCAGCCTGGGCAACAGAGCTAGACTCCGTCTAAAAAAAAGAAGGAAGAGAGAAACAAAATGATAGTAGCAAAAGAAGCTTTGTCCTTACCCTAGAAAGCTTAGAAAAGATGGTTTTAAGACTACTCACTAAAGAGTGTAAGCTGTTGTAACTAAACTGACAACAGCGATCTGATTGTCCAAATGAATACTCTCAAAGCACCTTTGGACTACAATATAAGAACATTGAATATTTTGGTTATTTTGTGGTGTGAAAAAAAAACAGAAGGCAAGAATTAGCCAAAGAGGTGCGGAACATATTTCAGTACACAGTATTTCACTATGTATGAATGAATGCATATAGTGGTTAACTGTATTCTTTTGAAGCTGAGAATAGGAAAAATTGTATCCAGCATCAGAAGTTCCTTTAGTGTCAAAAAAAAAAAGAAAAGAAAAGAAAAAGAAAAGAAACGGATAGTTATCTTTGGTTACTGACTTGTTCTTTAGAAGGAATAAGCTAAGGTGAATGCTTTACATTAGCACTAGCTAGAAAGATTAATTTGAAGAGATAAAGCTATCGTGGAACAGTGTTGAAAAAAGTATAGTGAATGTCTTTCCAGTTAATCTAGAAGAACAAGTCTCATGGCTCTGAGTAAGAAAGGATTTCATCATTTACCAAAAAAAAAGTCAACCCAAAGCAGATATCATTTGCCTTTTTTTATTTGTCTAATTCTTGTGTTTGTTCATTTATCACACACTGTTTATTCTTAGATATGACCA